GTGAACTGGGATATTAATGGGACATAATAGAACTTGAAGATAGTCTTATCTTCCCACTTTTATCTCAAGAATACAAGTTATAAATAGGATTTTCAAACTGTCCCCTTATTTGGAAGTGTTATAGCATGTTGAAACTCACAACAAAACTTTAAACCACAACATAATTTTAAATTACATTTTCAGTCCAAATAGCATTCCTTCCAGCAGCGACCTGAAGTTCTTCTCAGGTTATGGCTTGTTCCTGTTGCAAAACTCCTATCCAGGGGGCACACACATGGAACGTGCATCCCGATGGATGCCACATAAATCATAAGTGAGTGTCTGATAATACATTCCTAGAGAGAAACTGCAAAAAATGTCTTAGAACGTGAGAGATATATGTGACATTAGGGTGCTCAATCTCTAAATTATAATCTCTAGTTATACTACCCTATAAAGGAACAAGTAATAGGTTTATTCCATGCTGAAAAAAAGAAGAAAGAGAACACAACGTTTCGGCCGTGGAGCCTTCTTCAGGTGTGAGCACCTACCCTATAAGATGGGTAGTAGTAGAGGGTTTATTGCCATATGTACACATATACTAGAATTCTTCATCGCAGTGATCTCTTGGGACACACACAGTACAACAGACAACAACACACAATGTAGACAGTACATTACAAGTATAATAATTAATAACACCAACAGGAACAATAACAATGTTGTGGGACAATAAATAATGTAGCAGTGAGAAGAAAAAAGACTTCGGAGTCTGTTTGTGAGGCTTTTTGCTCCAGTTTTCTCTCACCTTCTGAAGATGCATAGGTGAGGTAACTGTCTCTCCCTGGGCATCAGCTCTGCTCCTCACTGTGTTACTAAACTATAAACCAAGTGGCTTTGGTGCTTCTCTGCCCTACAACCCGTTCTCTTCACAGACGTACGCAGACAGACTGTCACATATGACTTCAGCAAGCAGAGAAGCCAGGATGCTCAAGGCAGACACATGCAGAGCCGATACAGAGCCGATTCACCCAATTCAGCTCGTTTCCTCCTCAGACCAGTATGTGATACAGGTATGTGGCTCTGTGGCTAAGGATCTGTGGCTTTGGCCCCTGTGGCTGGAGGGTTGCTGGTTCAAATCCTGTGGCTGGCGAAGGAATCCTACTCCATTGGGGCCCTGAGCAAGGTTCTTAACCCCAGCTGCTCCAGGGGCACCATATAAATGGCTGACCCTGTGATCTGACCCCCAGCTTCTCTCCCTGTCTGTGTGTCTCATGGAGAGCATATTGGGGTATGCAAAAAAGACAAATTCCCAAAGCAAGGAATTGTATATGGCTAATAAAGTGATCTTCTACACATGACAGTTTGAGAAAGTTTTCATTGTTTATTTAAAAAAACGCAGAGCACTCAATTCAAGGCAACTTCTTTATCCACACCGAGAGGGTGGGGATGTGCAGACAGGCTTTTTCAACCCGCCCACCCATCGAGCCAATTATCTTACAGGCTCTGCAGCCGCACACAGGAGGATCAGTGCTGATTGGAGCAGAGGCACGTCACTCCGCAAGACAGCAGACACCCTGGAGGGTGCCTGGCTCTCCAGGACTGAGAGACACAGTTGTGAACTTGTGATGGAACAAGTAAAGGTTCATTCCATGCTGAAAATAGAAGAAAATAAACACAACGTTTCGGCTGTGGAACCTTCTTCAGGTGTGTGATGAACTTGTGTCGCCAGTACCAGGGAGCCCAAGCTGTCCTCAGACCAAGGGCCTCTACCAGCTGAGCTACACAGCAGCCACCCAGGTTATTAATTCATTTACCTGAGCTGCCAAAGATCTGGAGAGGCAAGACACAGTCCTCCTACTGCCTCTGTGGATATACATAAAGAAAGATGAAGGGAATCCTCCCTTGAAAAATAAAACTGGCAAAAATAAGAATGACTCAAACTGGCCTTATTCATTCGTTAGCAGGAGAATGAAAGGGAAGTCACGGTGATGGCCATAAGCTGTATCTCCTCCTGAGGAATCCATCATCTTCTCCTTGGGCCCAAAGGAAAGGAGTACTTCCTGAGGTCAGAGGTCAGGGAGAAAATGGCAAGATAGCTTGCTACACATTTCAGTTTGGTCAAGATTTGAGCGCGTGCTGTTCCATCTGCTCCGAACCTGGTGCGTCAGGTAATGAGGTGACTGAGACAGCAGCGGTACAATTGCTACGAGTGCTGCATCTGCTCAACTGTCTGCACCACATGGCCTGACCTGCAGGTGACATTCCAGTGTAGGGTTAGTGTTGAAACAAACGCCACGTTAAGGTGAAAAGGGAGACGTCCTAGAAGCCATGTCAAACTTCACGTTTCTGTTCCTTGTTTTACCCAGATCTCCATCTTTTCCGAGCTTCACAGCTTCCCGAAGGTGTTCAGGGAAGCTCCGAAAGGCGTTTACAGCATGAACCGATGGCACGTCTGTTATTCCCAACGGGAGAGCATCGTCCCTGGAGCGAGGCAACAGGTGCTTTGCAGGCCCACGATGTAGCAGCTCTGGAGCCTGAAGCCAGTAAATAATGCATGAGGTCTCTCAATTGTCAAGTGCTCCTGTTGGGACAGCCTGGCAGTGGGATGAATCATTACAACCTGGTCTTCAGCTCATTACAGCCATTAGAGAGGATCAGTCCTTAAAACCTTGTAATGAGTATCAATAAGCAATGAGTTTTTCCTTTTTCTGAATAATTCACGCAGCGATATCTGGTATCCCCCCAACAGGACTTGAAAGGAGAGTAGGAGGACAAACCTTGAGCCCAGCCCAATTTGTGATTAGGACAGCGTCCTGCTGTCCTTTCTGCTGTCTAGCGAAGAGGAAGCCTTATCTATCTGTATACGTCTACAGAAGAGGATATGAGGGCTCTTATCAAGTATTCAAATGCTAGAGAACAAGCCTTCTCACTGGAGAGAACCAGGGTAGGGAAATCAATCTTTATCAAATCTTTATTCAAAATCATGGAAGGTTTTTTCTTTTTGTAAAAATTTAAAACAGCAGCGATATGGTCAGATAAATGTGAAATTATTCAGTTATTTTTTTTCCTGAATATTTTTTCAACTGGTTGTTATTTTAGCCCTCATTACAAAGTGTGTTTGAAACAGCCCCCTCTAAGTTTTAAGGGTTTACAATTTAAAAAAATCAAACAGTAAGGAGATGTTGGATTTATTGAGAACACAAAATAAGCTTTCTGCTTGGTTCAGCTATTCCTTCCTCATAAAAGATGTATTTAAAAATCCCATCTTACAATACCCTGTGATTTTGAAACAGTTCTGCAGGTCATAAAAACGCTTACAAATGAGAAGAGGCCATACAGCCAGCCTAGCACTGTTGATCAAAGGATTACATCCAGCTGTTTTTTTATATCCAGGGGTATCAGCTCCAACATATCTGGGTAGCCTGTTTGAAAATAGTTTGTGACAGTTTTTCTATTCTAAATGCTAACAACAACACATCTTAAACTTGTAACGCAGCCTGCAGAGAACACCGCTTTCTCCACCCTCGACACTACGAGATCTGCCGAGACGAGTGAAGTGGCACGTTGTCGCCCTCTAGTGGCGACTCTGAGAAGAACAGGGACATCTCCGGGAGACAGCAGGTCAGCGTTAGGCAAGCATCCGTCAGACAGGTGGTGCAGCCTGTTCCAACTCAGCTCAGGTTTAAAAGACAAAAAAAACCCTCAGTGAAATGCATTTTCTTTTTTGCTCCAGTACTGTAGCGAAACATATCGAAGACCATTTAACACCTGTAATGTCCACAGACAAATTAACTTTCACTGGATGACTAGCCCCATGGGAAGAGGCGGTATCATCTATACACAGCTGCAGACAAACAGCACAAAAGATGAACACATATCATGGCAAGTAATCTGGCTCCATTTCAGACATTTCATTCACAGCATACACGCCTGTGCCATTAGTGCACAGCACCAGGCATCTTCCAGGTGTCTAACTGGTGGCACCTGGGCTGTGCTCTGTGAAATATGCATGAAGCAGGTATTGTTGCTCAACAGCCTGGCTGTAGACAGGATCATTACACAGCACTTGTCAGCTCCTTACCTTTATTATAGCTGACACTCCATAAGAAGCTTGTAATGAGCCCAGTTAATGAATAATACATGCCAACTGAAATCCTAGAGGGGCACTTCTATTTCCTACAGCTAAGAAATAACTACAGAGCACCAGAATTCATGTTACTATTTGCCTGATATGAGCAACCTAAAGGCAAGTATTCATAAGCTACCTCTGTGAGGGAGTCTCTAGTCTGCCGTACTTTTCAAAAGGTGTGCTACATTGGCATGGATACCTATGAGCACTCTGCACCTGAAACATCCGTTTTCAGTTGCCAGTTAATTTAATGCAGTTCATCACTTAGACAGGGACAAGAACTCCTGAAAAAAGCAGAGCACCTGAAACGTTCTTGCTATCCCTTTTCAGAGCAGAATTAACCATTACTTGTTCCTCGCCAGCCCACGGACCCAGCCAGCCTATCGTTTGACTGTGGGAGAAAACCAGAGCACCATGTGAAAACCCATGCAGACATTGGACAACACGCAGACTCCACAAAGAAGGAGCTGGCATGAAATCTGACACAGAGCCCAAGAGCTATGAAGTGGCTATGTTAACCATCACATCACTGTGCCACATGAACAAAAAAAAAGATTGAATAATTCAATTATCATTTGACAAACTATACTTATATTTAAAAAGTTACTTATTTTATATATTAAGGTATATAAAGGGTGTCAAGATGCTTCAGAATGTGACCTACAGGTGCCTGATAAGAACAGATTAAAATAAGGGGTTTAATCAATGTAGTCACAAATATTGCAGAACAACTGGATAAATCCAGTGAGTTTGGTTCCATTGAAAAATCCAGACTTCTGTTACCCTTAACAGACACTGCACACGCGGATTTTCCTCACGCTTGGCTGCACCGTTTTCAAATGTCCTGGAGTTTAGCAGAATGTGAAAGGATAAGAGGACAACATCCGAGTTCTTCACACAAACACGTTTCCATTTTATTTCTTAGAAAAAACAAATGACCTGATCTGCACATTTAATACACCACAACAAAGGCAGACACATCATATACATGATTGTAGAGCATTTTTGCTTACACCTGAGAAGAAAAAAAAAAACTGAGATAGGTAGCCCTTGGAACCGCTTCCTTGAGTTAATTCTTTGGCTGCTGTGGCTCTGCGTCGGTGTGATCACACAGCAGGGCAGGGGAGGGGGGGCGATTCTTACATCAGCCATCCTTGTTGGCCTTGCTTCTTCGTAATCCCTTCTTTGGGGCCGGCTGCTCCCTCACACAACAGTCGCACACCCAGCATCCTGAAAAACACACAGGTCACTGTCTGTTCTCTCCCTTCAACACCTCCGCACAACGCAGCCGTTTCTTGCACTCGGAGACCTCACGCCAGCGGCTCCCAGTTCCCAGTTCCCAGTTCCCAGTTCCCAGTTCCCAGTTCCCAGTTCCCAGTTCCCAGTTCCCAGTGGGCTGCGTTCCAGCCGAGCCCTCAGCGACACAGTCAAACCCTCCGTTGACTTAACAAGAAGAAGATGAATCTTCTTTGTTCCCAGAGCTCTTAAACGTGTTGGGAGCTTCAACTGTTGTATTTTGGAAGTGAAATAAAATCCCAAACTTGCGACGAGAAAGGAAATGCCAATGTTCAACTGAAGCAATTTCTTAGATCAATTACGGCTTCAATTATCTAATTAAGGAGGGGCGGAATGACAGCAGGAGTGGGGGTCACTGGGACCGGGGTTGGCCTTAAGCTCTCCGTCACCGTGAATTCTAGAAAAACAGCCAGGTCAACTGGAACAGCTTGGCATATATGATAAATAAGACAGCGCATCAATACAATGTATTTGTGAGGTTCCTTTTATGATTTTACTCTTACAGTAAATCTCAATAGAAAAAATGATCACAGTGAAAATGAGATTATGGGGACCACAACTGGACAATTATGTTGAAGAGCCTTCCCTAGTGTCTAATTTACTGATACCCTGTGCAATGAGCATGTGGATTTCGGTTATCTAATTAAGCATTGGCAAGCTGCCTGTTCTGCTGCAAAGACTAAGATGTCAAAGCCTCGCAAACCATCCAGGCATGATAATTCAGGCTGACCTAAAGGACTGAAGGATGAGCGTATAGGAAAGTTGAAAAATAAGGTCCATGTGATAACCAGTCCAACTGTGCATGCTTTTCACTGCGTCACTGTCCTACTCAATTGTACATCACATCAAACTTCAGTGGTGCAGATGGGACTTATAATTACATCTCGCCACTGTGCACTACAAGTACATACAAGTAGCCAGCAGCCATATCACTCTGCAACTCACAACTGGCAACCCACTGAAGCTAAGCAAGTGTGAGCCTGGTTGGGAGACCTCCTGGGAAAAACTAAGACTGCTGCTGGAAGAGGTGTTAGTGGGGCCTGTAGGGGGCGCTACCCTGAATCTGTGTGGGTCCTAATGCCCCAGACAGGGACACTATACTGTAAACAGGCACCGTCCTTCGGATGAGATGTAAAACTGAGGTCCTGACTCTCTGTGGTCATTAAAATTCCCAGGGTGTTTCTCGAAAAGAGTAGGGGTGTAACCCGAGTGTCCTAGCCAAATATCCCATTGGCCCTGACCAATCATGGCCTCCTAATAATCCCCACATATGAATTGGCTTTATCACTCTGATCACTCTGATCTCCTCCCCACTGGTGAGCGTTCTGGCGCACTATGGCTGCTGTGGCATCATCCAGGTGGGGCTGTACACTGGTGGTGGTGGAGGGGATCCCCATTACCTGTAAAGCACTTTGGAGTGGAGTGTCCAGAAAAGCGCTATATAAGTGTTAGCAATTATTATCAATTATACAAGTGACAGGGTGGTGAAGCCTCTCAAGTTTACCTAAAGGAATGGCGTCCACACCGACGCAGAAGGTGTGGAAGCCGCGGTCACACTTGTCGCAGAACATCATCTCCTCCTCGTGATGGGGCTGCTGGCAGACCGTGCAGGTCTTGCACTCCATGCACTGCCAGGGGTAGGTCTTGATCAGGGCCACCAGCGCGGCAGTCATGTCCAGGCAGGAGGGGTGGCCTGCAGCGGACACAGGACACGCCGTTACCGAGGAGCGCCGGACGGCCCTCAGCGCGCTCGCCAAATTGATTCCTGCTGAAACTCGGATTTTTATTAGGGGGGGGGTGAGGGGCAAACAAACCGTTTTCAATTCTCATTGTTTTTGGCAAAACAAAATCTGGCCTTGGAGCCATAAAGCCAACATGTTGCATCGGTGAAAAAGAAAAGGAAAACACAGCTACGGTCAAAGCAGTCTGAATTGTTTTACTTTGTACAACAGCCTACGTGCACGTTTGGCGTCTCAAACTCAGGTCCTGGACAGCAAGTCTTCTGGCTTTTACTCCCAACACATTTTCAGTTACATTAGAAGGTCTTATTAACAGCGTATTTGTAATACCTCCTACCAGGGTCTGAAGTGATACATAGGGAATCAAAATGATAATGATGGAAATGTTTTGTGTAACTAACTGTAAAAGACCTTACGGAAAATTCCAGAAATGTCTGGATCAGAGAACAATCAGGTTAACTGTTTATCTGACTGTACAGGTTGCAACAAAGACCAGAAAACACAAGACACCCCAGCAACTGAGTTTGAGAACTCTGCTGTTTGTATTGCCTTAACATGACAAGAACCACTTAATGGTCTATTCTCCAAAGAAATTTAAACTTTTATATGCAGTTAGCACACTTATTTTGGTGATAAACTGTAGAGAGTATGCTAACATGATGTCTCACTTAGTAATGTGATGCACTTGAGTGTATGACACTGAACTATGAAGCATGGCTGCATAAAAATTAACATTTAAAAGCAATTTAAAATATATTAGTCAACGATAATATTACAAGTACCATACTATATAACATAACATCACATTATGAGCCCTATACAATTTCTTGCATTAGGAATGACCTTTTCACATACCCCAGCTTGCTCTCCATGAGACACACAGACAGAGAGAGAAGCTGGGGGTCAGAGTGCAGGGTCAGCCATTTTACGGCGCCCCTGGAGCAGTTGGGGTTAAGGGCCTTGCTCAGGGGCCCGACGGAGTAGGATTCCTCTGACGGCTGCAGGATTTGAACCGGCAACCTTCCAGCCACAGGCGCAGATCCTGAGCCACAGACCCACCGCTCTGCCCAACAACTGAGAGAGAGAGATGGGACAGAGCGTCTCTCTCTATATATTAAGAAGGACTGAAAATTTAAATTGGAATGCTCTGAGCAACACAGGATGAACCATGACTGCATTAACCATTTACCTACATTAACCACCCCGAAATACAGTTATTTGGTACGACATTAAGGTTTCAGGCTACGAGGACCAGGATTCTGCATACCGGATAGTATTCGGCAACAAGAACACAGTTTGCATGTCAGCTGGATTTGAAGACCCAGGCTCTTTCCTGTAAACTCTGTTACTACCAACATACTGATAGCGATGATGTGTGGCAGCACAAAAACCAGACCTGGGTAAAAATGCTATGGAATGGGAGTCTTTTAGGTTTCCCAGCTGTACCACTTTTTAATGGGGCCTGCAAGCTATTCTGAACAGCTTTACTTTGTGTGTAGAGAGTGGCAATCAATCAAAAGCTAGTATCACTTACCACTGTTGCTGCACTGGGAGCAGTGAATGAGACTTTCAGGCTTCCCTTTCTTGTTGGACTCCTTACCCTTCAGACATATTCCACATATAGCATTTGGAATGACCTTTGGCTGGAAGGGCAGAACAATGCTATAAAAACCAGGACAACAGAGCCCACAGCAGGAGTGGACATTGGTTTCAGAAGCAACAGGGAGACAAAAAGTTGAAAAAAGTACTAGAAATCATTCCCCTCAAACAGCTTTGTGCGTCCAAACTACAAACAAGAAGTTATCAACTTGCAGGCAAAACACAATTTTGCCAACAAATGTTTTTCAGACATGCAGTTTTTAAGCTTGCATCTCTCTTTGCAAACATGTAGTCGTTTTACAGACACTACAGGAATGTGGAATGATGTACTCCGTCTGTCTGCAAAGCCTTGTAACTTTTACTGGTTGCAATTTAAATATTACGTGTATTTTCATATTAAAATAATTCATGATTTTCATAACATTTAGGTATAGATTTTTTTTAAACAAAAGTAGAGCCTGCTGACGGTCAGATAAAACGTTAGATTAGCTGCTTTTCTGAAGTTTAAGTATGCTTTAAACAACAATAACTGTAATGCAGAATTTACCCAGGAAAACAATCTACATCATGGTCAAGAGACACTCGTATTCAACTGGTTCTGTTACTGTAATTGGTAGGGTAGCAGAACACATGAGAACATGGGAAGAACACATTGGTGGTTATCCTCAGGCTCACTCTTTTAAAAGATGCTCACAATGTCACTTATATTTTGTGTGCACATGCATAAATAAATGTGACAAAACCCAAATCATCCGAGAATTACTGTGAATTTATAATCCCAATCAAACACTGCTCGTCTTCAAAAAACGGCTCCACTACAGTCTTGCATTTCCTACCCTCCTACAGCATGATTTAAGCGGAAAGAATAGCAAAAAAAAATCAAGTGTAACCTAGCAGGAAGAAAGTAGCAGAGAGGAAAAAAAAACAATAGGGATTACAGCAGAATTTTCAGGAATGTGCAAACTCTTTATTAGGATCGGAAGCAGGGCTTGGACAAAAAGTACAATGGAGTGATTACATAAAAAAATAAAGGCCCCTTTCCTGCAGTTACGCACAGAACTAAGGTATAGCAATGCATCGCTGAAGTATGCCAAACAAGGACGTCGGACAGGGTACACAAAAAAAAGTTTACTTCCTTGCACTTTAAAGAAACAAGAGAATGTTTATAAAGAGTGGCAGAATAATACTGTCTTGACTTAGTGGGTTTTGACTTGGCTGATGTTTCCTGCGCATGAATTAGCAATGCCCAAGTAGTTCCTATTAATTAAGATTTAGTCAGGTAATTCCTGAAATAAATTAAATGGAAAAATGTAACCAGAAACCATGTGCATTCTGTCACTGTGGAAAAAAGTATCCTTAAAAAAAATGCACCTATGTTTACTAATTTTTTTACTTTACCTAAAGATTTAGGGTATAGACAATACCCTAGAGGCCTTGCTGTCCGAACACTAGCACTGTCAAAACCTTCAGTGCCCACTAGCCACTCGGGAGAAAAAACTACAACTGAATAGTGACTCCACAACGTACAAATTGACCACATTGAAATGAAAGCAACACGAGAACACAAACCTGGAAAAAAACAGTTCGTAGTCCTATTAAAAAAAAAAACCTGCTTCTATAAAATACCAATTCTGAAACAGCTTGACGGACTAGTATTATAACTGCAACCTTGCTAAAAACAAATATTTGAACTCTTTTTTTAAATGATAAAAAAAAACTAAATGCGAGAATATGAACTAAAACATACCAAAAAGATAAAACATACCAACGATTAAAAATTACAATAGTAACTGTTTTTACTATCAAAAACACTAGAACTTTTTTTTTCCACATTTTTGTAGAAAGAAAAAAAGTGGAAGCTTAATGAAAGAGGCAGGTTATTTTAAAAAACATTAACATACTTAAAAGACATTTATGTTTGTTTTGCACTTATCTCTAGTTATGTGTTCTGAACAAAACTTGTCACTGTTGAAAGTGACAGCATACATATAGCAGCAAGATCTTCTCTTTTGAGGAGAATGTCCTAAATGAAACTATGTCCATAAAACTACTCTTTAATGAATCACAAGAACATAACCCTGGAGTTTAAAATCCAAGAATATCAAAATTCGCCCTCTAAAGATGTCCCTTTCTTTTAACTCTTTATACCAAAAATAAGTTTTCGTGACAAAAAAAGCTGCAGAAGAAGATGCTAGAAAAGTATTTTGTTTCATGCTTAAGAACCTACTCTCGGACAACGGGATATTATTATTATATGCAACGAAAACTTTCTAAATAGTGACCTATTCTTGCGTTTTGTTTCGGTAGAAAGTCTCGTGGAAAAATATTAGTGACAGCCTTACAATACAAATACCAGCAGCACAACAATTTCAAGACAAGTGGGAAGATAACATGCAAAATATTCAGCAAACACTGTATATCACCATAAAGTACTTCACAGTTAAAACAGTTCATAGTCTGCAAAAATATTAGCTTTAAGCTAAAACACTCCTGACACCAGAGGTGTGCCAGTTAAAGAATGCCATAAAAATAGCTGGATAGGTTTTGTGCTACCAAAGAAAACCCTTATAAGATCACTGAGGCTAATCCACAAAAAACTATTCTACTTCACACAGGATCAAGTTGCTTCTAATACGATCTGTACTGTAACTAATGTGGCCCAAAAACTGGGCTATTATTTAAAAAACAACACTGAACATTTCTTCCCGTGCAAGCCTTTGACCAGAAAATACCAACCCTTCATTGAGAGGAGCTGAATGTGACTGTTCTAAAGTGCAGATCAAAATGGGAGCTTTTAAGAGCAGAGAACTCGAATGCACAGGCCAGCTGGTATGTTTGTTTCCCCGAAGAAATGGAACTGGAAATCCAGGAACGTCTTTAAAGTGCTGATTCCGCTAGTGCTATATTAACCCTCAAGAGAGGTATAAAACATCAAGTAAAATTTACAGATAAAATGTTTACAGTTAACATTTTCCTATGCATTATGCTTAACAGTCTATCCTACTATTAGTGTTTTTCTAAAGCAATAATGAAGGACAAAATCTGCATCCTTCTAGTTTGGCGATAGCGGTAGTTAAAGAAAACTATTTTTCCAGATCTGTAACATTACAAGACATTCTACAGCTGCAATAAGGCTCTGACCACTTCTAGCTTGGTCATCCTTACAAACTAAGTATTTATTAGTGTTTCAGAAGGCAGAGACAGGTACTGGACACCCAGTGCAGGATTCACAATACAAGTTCACACAATTCATTAAGCTTTTTTTTAACAAATTTATGATGTTCCTTTTCTAGGCTTTGTATCTTCACACGTAATATCCTACACTTTACCCTGCATAACAAAGAACGGTTTCACAAAGTTAATTTGCTGGGATTTTAGTACTCATTTTCGTCTTGCGTCAGTTGTATATTATGTATATTGTAGAGTACTCCGAGTTTGTTGAAAAGAATTCCAAAATAAAATGATCACTCTACTACAAGGAAGAAACGAGCTGCAGCAGCAAGGAGGTGTACTATAGGGGTGAAAAGCTGTGTGACGGCAAAAGTATTTCTCATTCCTATCAACTACGATTTCGGACAAGCACTAACATTTAACTGTAGTGCTCAGACACAGCCGGAAAAATGTTAATTCAGATAACTGAATACCTTCCCCAGTACCACATTTATCAGGGATATAAGCAATTAAATATTATAATCAACAAATTCCACTACACTGGTGGTCTTAGAATCAGTTATTGAAAATCTTGAAACTTTATATGAAAAGTATAATGAGTCCTAGGGATTTCTAATTAATTCTAATAATTACTTAAACCATGACAATAGAAACTATAACCACTGGTAAATATGTGTCTCTGGAACATGATACCTCAGTAATGTTCAAGGTAGTGTTTGCTGCCATGAAGACGGATTATTCTCCTTCTGCATCCCAGGTTACTGACTTCTGCAACGAGCAGTCCCAATGCAAATCCCACAAGGCTGATGTTTTGCAGGGAGGCAGGACGTATTCTCAACAATGATCAGACTTACTATATCAGTACTGGGGGATAGGCACAAGTGCCACACGTTATGCTTTCACCCTTGTATAAAATAAAAGGTCCAGATTTTACCCTTACAAAAAATTAAACGTCTTCCCACAATCTGCCTCTGTAACATTTGAATATGCAGCCAATTAAAGATATACACTGATAAACACATCTTCTGTAAACATCAAAATGCAATTAAAGGGAGGTAGGTGAAATGTTTCTTAGCATTATAAAAGTAATTCTGAACACAGAAATATGTGATTGTGAACCCTTCAATCCTTCAGCTGCTTAAAAAAAAAAGCAAGGACCACCAACTTTAAAATAGTAGTAGAGCATCTAACCTAGTAGATGTATGAGGACTTTCAAAATCCTCTCAAACTTCTTCATTCTCCGGTTCCCTTTTTGACTGCAGGCCTGGGGCACACCCATTGTGCACATTTCACTTACTGAATCGGGTTCAACACGACACTCCTAGCATAGCGATTTTTGGGTCATTTTTTCTGTCGTATAAATGGAGCACACCGTTTCCCCTGCAAAACATGCCTGGTGTTTCCGTCCACAAAACCTGCCTTTCCAGAACTAATTCTCAGCTTCCCTCGACTCCACCATGTAGATTTTTTTCTTACCAATATCCTGACATTCAAAGACTGCAACAGAAACATAGCAAGAAAAATGTTGGGCAGTTTTTTTTTCCCTGGTGAATTTAAAGAGACTATCAGGTTTAAAGATCATCAAAATAATCTAACCTGAAAGCAACAGCAACACTTCCATTCAAAATCTATCTCCTGCCACGTCTTCTGAACTGACACTTCTGTGAAGCTGCTACTTATATCTGGCTGTTGCCAACACAAACATTTCCCTTTTCCATTTTACTGCATTACAATCTGACAGCACGATATTTCTGGGTGTCCCGGTTTGTCTCGGAAAGGACTCACCAACTCCTTTGAAAGAGAATGCTTTGCAAAATAATTAGAAGCTGTGTTAGCTGCTTCGATACTCAGGAGCCCATGTGACCCAGACTCTTCACCAAACTTGTGCCCTCCTTTGAAGAGGCCTGGGCACCACTGCCAATGATGTCTCTCAGAATGACGAGCGTATAAATTTAGATAAGTCTAAACATGCCCTCATGTCTGCAGTGAAACAAGGAGGAAAATATACAGTGCAATCAATTATAAAAATGACTCAGGTAAGCCACACAGCGCCTTTTTTAATAGATAGGTTTTCTGTATGTTATTTTTTAACATACAAATGTAAAATGTGGCCTACAAACCTTCACATCCATTTCTGTTATGCAGACCAGCTACTTCAAACTCAGATTATGCTGCGAATGACCAATTTTTTGCACCGAGATTAACAGCACTGCTACCAAGCTACAAGAGTCCAATTGGTACAGCAGCCCTGGTGGGAAATCAAAAATCAGATCTTTCGTGAAACCAATAAATACCGTTGCAACTTCCATCAAATGTTTTGGAGACATAGGAAAACATATTTGGAAAGACAGAATACTGTCACACAAGCCTAAGGCCTGACCAACCTCACCAAGTCCTCTTTTGATTCTGCACAACACTGTCTGTGCACCTTCGCTGACTCAATAAAATGGCAGCATGCCCTGCAGCACATTCTGTCATCCCCAGAGTCTGACCATATTTAACATGACTGCACCTGAATAATCCATCTCGATCTTGGACATCCATAGTGTGACCTTACAAATAAACATAAATCAAGCCAGATCTATCCAAAAGCTCTCAAATTCTCTGGATGGAACAGAAAAATGTTTTTTTTATGCTACTAAATAGAATATAAATCTAGTTGTTAAATCCTTTTATTAATATCAAACGTTAGCTGTTTTGCCTCCGCTCACTTGCCTTGCAGTCGTATTGACAGGTTAGCAGCTCAGAGGTATGTCATTAAAAGGCATTTGTAAAATACCTAAAATACCAGGAGGCCAAAACCTTAGGAAAAAAGGTCATAAAGTAATTCCAGAACGTGTCACTTGGAGATACTAAAATTATTGCTCTATACGATCAGAAGGAGAGACAGAGACGTGGGCCCACCTTAGTCGCCCGGCTCGGAATTAAACAGGAGTGGAAAGAAAGAAGAACGCACTCCGTGGTTTAGGGTGACAAGAAAGCCCCAAGAGAAAATGAAGCAACCTGGACAGACTGTGCGCGGCGTCAGGCCGATTCTAAAACAAAAAAAGCAGCTGCCGGCATGTTTGCCATGTGAGAAAGGGAGGAGAAAGGTTCTTTTTTTTTTGGAGAAAAGTCAGGGGCTTTTTTCTTCTACCTTGTACCCAGGGACAGATTTGTGTTGCACAGAACGTTTGGAACCATCTTTAGCTGGAGTCGCCGGCCTGTCCTTCGACTTGGACTTCCCCTGCACAGAGCTTTCCTGACTCTCGGTGGGACTGTCCCCATCGGACGTGTTCCCAGAAGAGCTTTCCTGTTGAAAGAACATGAGAACATGAGCTCGGGGTCAAGGAGGGCCCATGTGGCCCAGCGAGGGAGTTTAACTGATCCGCAGACCTCATCCAGCTGCTTCAACAACGGGGGCAGGGCAGCTCGTTCCCCACTCCCACAACCCTTTGGGTAAAGACATGCCCCCCCGTTGACAGCTTTGAACGCACTTCCACAGAGTTTCCACTTGTTTCACTGTTCATCCTGGAGAAATCCCCTGAGCTGACTCTGTCAGCGCCTTTGAAGATTTGGAATACTTGTATCGGGTCCAAATTGGAAGGCCTCCAATGCTGCGAACTTGACGCGTCTTCCGCTTGGCAGTCCTTCCAGTTAACTAAGCCGTGCACTCGGGGTAGCTGGGGGACAGCACAGAGCAGTGGGCGAGCCTCTGGACTCTGGCAGGTTACAGGTTCAAGTCCCTGGTGGTGTCCTTGAGTGAGGTACTGCCCCCAGACCACCACCCCCCCCCAGCTGTACAAGTCGGGGGACCAGCAGGGCTGGGGCTGGGGTAATTCCTGTGCTGCTGTGGGGAGGGAGTCGCATGATCTCAGGCAGGGCCGGTTCTGGGCACAGGAGAACTAGGTGACTGACCAGGGCCGCCAGGGGTCCCCCCCATATGCAACACAATATAGTGTTTTTAATTACCACATTCAATGGGAGTGAAAATATTAGAAGCCCATAATCATCTTAGATTACGACTGATCATAATGAAGTATGTAATAGGCTTTTAAAGAGCAGAAATGAGCTGGATTAGCAACCTCAAAACAGAGGCATGCCAAATCAAATAACTGTAAATACAAATCATTCCATTTTATGCAGTATTAATGTGGTTTGGAGTCTGTCAGATCACTGAAACTATCTATTTCATAGATTCACGTTTCTCGGAATCGTACACATGCTGTGCGAGTTGGGTGGCTAAACAGTACAGAAGTTCAGCAATTATACTTCATCGACATACAATGCATTGGTTTCCATGCAATTCCTTCTGTATTTCAATGAATGGGGGGTATTGTGAAGCCAACCTGTAGCCCTTCACAATTCAGTCTCTCTCCCAGTGACAGCGGCAGGAGCAGAGAGGACCTTTTCAGAGCTCAAGTTGACTAAAACACACCTGGCACAAGACCAGCTCAGTGGACAAGCATCGGTCATGCAGCAGGTAGACTCCTATCGTATGAAGGTGTACAGTAATTGATTATGATTTTGCCTCCCAAAAAAGTGAGGCAAAGTGATTCATAGAACAATATTGTTATAAGAATATTCCCATCTGTTCAGCCTCACTGATTTCACCTCCCTTCTTATTGAGCGCACTCGTTTTTTCTTAAATTTCACACTTAATTCCTTTCTACAAAGGTTACAGTGCAGTAATTTATAAGTTATAATTTTCCTGTTTATTGTTATTTATGTTCCTATTCATTACTTTCCAAGTTAAAAATGAATCTTTGTGAAATTGTGTGCTTCTTGCTCTTGTTATTCATTATGTGTGCTTCAAAGCTTGTTAATAAAAGCTTTCTTGTTATATATTTAATTTAATTGTTCTAAATAGTAAGATAAGGTTGGGATGGGGGCTGCTCATAATAGTGTATGTGCAAACTGTGATCTGCAGGGCTCCCAGAAACCTGGGGTCTGCCCCAGTCTCACAATGACTGAGTCCATAGTGCCACCTAGTGGACCGATGACAAATTCCAACCTCATGTTTTGAAGACCTGAGAACGCAAGGGTTTAACACGAACATGTTCTTAGCAGCTCATCGATTGGACGATCTCTTCCTGAAAGAAGCCAGGGTAACAACTCTGATGACACGGGTGGGCAGCTTCTTCCAAATACTCACAAACCTTTGAGTAAGGAAGCCCCTCCTGTTCTCGGTTCTAAATCCACTTCCCTGTGGTTCTACCTGGGTGTTTTCACATCCCCGAAGAGGAAAAAGGCTACTTCCTCGGCACACAGCATGAAGAAACTGATGAAGCCAGTCACAACAGCCACATGGCTCATCCTCTTTTATCTGTCAGAGTTATGACTCATGTGGAGGACAACTACATCACAGTCTCACATTACGTTTTTCTGTTGGTTCTTTGGACAGACATCATTCCTGTTGTCAGACCCAATGAGTTTTGGCCTAGGCCTCACCTCAGCCAGGGGTGCATGGTCCCCCACTTTAACCCCTGGGCTGCGTTTCTAGACTTGAGTCGAATTTGGAACTTTTACCAGATTCTCGACTGAAGTCTACGTCTGTGAAAAAACATCCCCCTTCCGGTGCTGAATCGACCGTTCTTTAGGAGTTTCACAATGCCCGCCGTAACCTTCCCATCATGCCATTCAAATATTTTTGACACCTCTTCCCAAACAATGAGGGGGCCTCACAGAGTGAAATGGCCAGTGCCTCATCTGAGCTCGCTGAGGGCCTACTCGCAGTCTGTCACGAGATTTCTTTTTAGCAATGTAAAAGAATAACCGGGCCAGATGGAGGGTCGACATACTTCAAAGCGCGAGTTCGTTAGTTCTGGCCAAAATAACGCCTGCTATAAAATGAAAAGGGAGAGTGAAAGATTCTCGGTGACCTATCAAAACACAGCGGCAAACACGGGTCGCTCCTGCTGGGCTGTAACCTCACCGGAGCACCCCTGCGAGGGAGGAAGAGCGAGAGGAAGACTTCCTCTCTTACCGAAGAGCCCTTTGTCTTCTTCTTCCCGTCCCCTTGGGGCTCCTCCGCATCGTCGGAGTCGCCCTCGCTGTCAAGGGCCGGCAGCTCGGGGTCCAGCGGGGGCTCGTAGAGGGCCGTGTTTAACGGCAGGTAGCGCAGCTCGTTGGGAGAATACCTGCGCCAAGAAATACAAAACCCGGGACTCAGCAATTATTCTTCCTGACGGGAGGGGGGGGTTGTCTCCAGCCCCAGTCCTGCAGAGCCCCCCTCCAGCAGGTCTGAGAGGCAGCCTTTAAATCATCGATTTCTCAAAGCCTGGATCCCTGGAGCTGTGACCACTTAAACGAGTGGCGTGTGTTCAAGGTCAAGTTCATCGCCGTGTGTACGCGAGCACAGTGAAATGCCTGCTTGTGCGCTTTCCTCACATGACAAAGACAAAACAGATGACATAAAAGAGGACCTGATATTGACATCGAAAATGACATCACAAATCTCGGAGGGCAATTATCATTTTAGCCAGCATTTAGGAAGCAGGTGTGTGCAAATTTCAGTCGTAGCAGAATCCTGAGTTCGGTGTAAAACAGAGTGGTGCAAGTGGGGGAGGATTTAAGAGGTGGAGTTCAGGAGTCTTATGGCTGTGGTAGAAGCTTTTCTTTGAACCTAAAGGACCAGGCTTTTATAAATCTTCTGCCTGAAGGAAGAAGAGAGAACAGTGCATGCCCAGGGTGGCGTATTCGCCGTTCTGAGGCAGCGTGTGGTGAAGACGGTCTGGATGGAAGGGAGATCTGTACCAGTGATGGCCTCAGCTGTCTCCACCACCTTCTGCAGTTTTGTTTTTCCGTTGCGTGAGCTGAGCAGTTGCCATACCAAACTGTAATACATCCAGTGAGAATACTTTCAACAGTGCATCTGTAGAAATGCGTGAGTGCTTCAATTAAGCAATTTCAAGATCATTCAGAACAAAATATCAATTGCTCAAACAAATGCGCCTCGTGATTAAATAACAGGCGATTCGGGATGACTCATTAGAATAACCAGGTTCTGGAGCAGGCAGATTCCTCTGTATACCTAGGCATGATACAAATACATGAAAAAGGATTTTGGACAGCACCTGGGATCTTCTTGTCTATATACAGAGACGAATACTGTTATTTGGTCACAGAACGTGAAAACAGAGTGTTTAGAAGAGGCTGTAATTCAGGGATCAATGCCAGGATTGAGGTGAAACCCAGAGTAGCCGAAACTCAGACTAGTGATACACAGAGCTCACCTTGCGCTCTGAAAAAGCACCTCTGCTGGTTGTGCTTCTCGACAGCCATGTAATACAATTTAAAATCCCCAACAATACACTCGCTGATCGACACACTAGGACCCTGCACTGAAAATCCCGTCAGGTCTCTGGGAGCAGGAGAGAGAGATCAGACAGAATGTGGCGCGTGTTTCACAGGATTTGAAACTATCTGCAGGCCAGTCGCATGCTTTCCACCCAACAGGATGCTGAGGATGTGTGGGTTTGAACTGCATATTTCAACACTTATCATGCATTCAAAAGGACTGCGATCTGGGGACTATCCAGCGATCCAAGGCCTTCCATGGAAATAAGTGTTATTTCCCTGAAAGCCCCTAACATTACAGCCAGTGAATCCGAGACTGTCACATGCATGCACACTGAACACTGTGATTTTACTCATACCTCTCCACCACAATGTTTAGACAAACTCAAGGTCTGCTGGCCACCTCCTGGCAGCAGATGAAATAGTATTACATACTGCTTTTACACAAAATCAATCTGGAAATCGATTAAAAACAGCCCGAGAACCATTTTCAGCAGCGCAGCCACTGAGACACTAGTGGGATCTTCAGACGTAACCAAGCTGCTCAGACGTCACCCGGGACTCCAGAAGTATGGAGACACAGCAAAAGCTGACGTCTGGACATGACATTTATAGGCAGATGCCATACCCAGAAAGACAAATGGGACAGAGACTTTTAAAGGAAGCGTTTTAAAACAGATACCTTTTGTAATAGTCCTGAAACTGGCCAGGGATCAGGGCTACAGGGTAAGGCCCCATCTTGGTTCTCTCAGGAGGCAGGACTTTGTACTTTCCTTGGGGCACCTGGATAATCTGCAATGAGTGGGGAAAAATGAGACAGTTATCGGCCTATACAGAATCTGCAATACCCGTGGACTGCGCCAACGAGGAAAAATTTCACAGATACTAACCAAGGAACACGTCGTAACAAAACAGCCAGTGTTGGTCTCAAACCAACAAGACATTGGAACCAAACCGCGTTCGATCAACGATTACATATGATGGAACAATATACATTTTGTTTTCCTCCTTAGCATTGCTCATGCATCCTCCCAGCCTCTGTCACTGCTGCTGTCCCCGAACAGAGACAGTTTCAGCCATGCACACAAAAACCACCTCAAAACAGGTATCGCTTACAACCCCCTACCGAAAGCCACGAGTCTGAATGAGGACAACAAATAGCTAATGATACAATTCCTCTCCCAGCTGTCTTGCCAGTTTCTGTTGCTTCCACATCTTTCCTGTAGAGGCAGGAGCACACGTTTTTCAATGACACATCACGATCTACACGATGGGATACACATCGAAATTGCACTTGGAAAAGAAGAAGTCACCACTTGCATGCGTCTGGAGGTCAAAATAAGCTCTTCTTTCTTCCATTCGCTCCCGGTTAAAATTGCTGTTGAACTCAGCGGCTTTCTTCGCAGCTTTCTTGATGTATTCTGGTACTTTGCTGGGTTCAACCTTCTGTGGGTTCTGTTGCTGCATTTGCTAAGAGAAAGAGGATATTCATTTCATCCACTTGGCATTCAAATGCAAGTGTACGTTTAAGAACATAAGAACAGTTCCAAATGAGAGGAGACCCTTGGACTAATCTAACTAACATTATATCACTTTATTAGCCCTATACAATTTCTTGCATTAGGAATTTGTCTTTTCGCATACCCCAGCTTGCTCTCCATGAGACACACAGGTACACAGACAGGAAGAGAAGCTTGGGGTCAGAGCACAGGGTCAGCTATTGTACAGCACCCCTGGAGCAGTTGGGGTTAAGGGCCTTGCTCAGGGGCCCATCGGAGTAGGATCTTTGACCGTTAGTAACTAATTGATCCAAGAATATCATCCAGCTGTTTTCTTGAACAAAACCAGGATATCAGTACTTCACTAAGTACCTCACACGAATTTTAGAATCTCGATATACAATGGTACATCTCCCCCTCCTGGGTTAGCCATGTTTCTATGATTCCAAGTATATCATAATTGCCAGCAGATTAGGTTGCCTTCAACTGTTTCTTCCAGGACGTGGAGCAAAGAAAATATCCAGATGCATGACAGCAAAAAACTGTTTTGATCAAACACCCCAAAGAGTATGTTGCTTTAATAACAAGAATATGATTTTTAATACAAAGAAAGGTTTCATATTAGCTGCAATGTGATCAAGCTCCATAAAAGGTAGTTATAATTATTACAGATTAGACTGGTAAATAGTCAAAGATGAGCCTTCTCAGTAGCAGTCCCAGGATTCAGGGTACTTACAGAGTACTCTTTAGTGATTCTCTGTCGCTCTCGTTCCTGAAGGATAACTGAATACTCAGCGTGTTTGACTGGGTACTCTTTAATCATCAGGTCAATGACTTCATCGCTGCGGACAGCCGTCAGCCCTGTCAAAAAGGCAAACTGTTAAATCGCACATTTACAAAAGGTCAAACAAAATGTGTTTTAACAATGTCCGTATAGGTTCAAAACCTGGTAAACATTACATTTGTGAAACATTCTGGATATGCATGAGAGGGTGAGGTATTTCTATAGCTACTACTTTATCAATCTCAAGAACAGCCTTTTCTTTTTCCACAAGTGCTTTCTGACCAGCAGCTACAAAATTGCAGCAAAAGACGCTGGCTTTTTTTCAGGTGTCATTAATCACAATAACAAAGGCCGTGAAAGGTGTTCTGCCATCTGATGCTCATCTGAATTCCTCTATATTGCACCAGTAATTTAACAGCTCTTTAGCTTTCTTCTCTTTCGTTTCTTCCAATATTGTCTATAGGCACAAGCCGAGAAGGGTAAACAAACTACAATTTTAGTGGCTGCTTGCAGCTACAAGTTACTCAGAAACACATGTGAGGAAAGTCTGAAACGAGAGGAGGCCATTTAGCACATCTAGGTCTTTTGTTTTTCTTTAGTAGCTAATTGCTAGCAGCAACATGGGAACATGTTTGGGAAGCTTGTTCCGGATACCCATTAACCCAACAAGATCAACAGCAGGGAGCAATTAAAACTTTGATTAACTGTGCTATGCCATTCCTATTTTGTAACCGAGAGCGTTTTCAAACTTAATAAGCTAAAAACTAGCCCAAGTGTCACTCTCTGGATAATGTATATCTCAGTTGCTGAGAAAAAGAAACTGGATCATAAATGATATACTTGAAGTTACATTATTTTCCTTCTGTGCAACTTTGTGCATTTCAGTCATCTCAATCTGCCTCAGATGAAGTCTAGATTCATAGCTATGAGGTTCAGTTTCTCTTTACTCAACTTCATTTGTCACGATACTTACACGGGTGCATAGTATAGTGAAAAGTGTTACTCATTAGTCTCTCAGATGCAGTATATAAATAGAACAGCAGACAAGACCATAGGCAGAAATACAATAACACCTACAGTGTAAACAACAGTATGGTGCCAGTGCAAAATTGTCAAAAACTGTGCAAATACGCAAACAGAGAAAAGTATACAAACAGGACAAAAACAGTAACAACTAGTACAGTTTAAGTACAATTTTGGCTTGCATTCAGTTGTCGTGTATGCAGTGGTGTAGGAGTACAGTCATTGTGGGTACAGGAGGAAGTGAGGAGAGATCATAGTATGATGGGAGGGAATGAGGGCGTCACCAGCTTGACAGCTTTACCTAATGTGCACTGCGTTTCCGTTATCACATTCTGCTCTCTCAGGTACAGCTTTTCCTTGTGGGACAGGTCCCGCCGTTCCAGGTCTGTAAAAAGAACAGCTCCATGTTAAAGCAGTAAAGCCTCACAGTGAAGCCTTGATCACTCAGACGAATTACATCAGAATCTTCACCTATTTGTTATGCTCCGATTTTACACCAAGATAAGTGCACTAATCTTAATAGAAGCTCCGAACTGCTTCCTGTGTGTCCTGTGTGTCACAAAACCGGGCTGACCCAAACTCCAAACCCGGCTTCCTTCAGCCCACAGAAAACCCCCCTTGAAGCAGTGGGTTTGAAATTAGCAGATGGCAGGTGGACTTAAGTTATCATCTGGTTTACGCCAAAGACAGATGGAAGAAACCAGATGTTTGGAATGTTTCTTCTGAAATAATGTTAAAGCAAGGAAGAAAAATCACAATTCTTTTATTGGTGAAGGGGCAATGTCATCAATGAAAACCTTTTTTTTGCGTTTATTGGCATACTGGTGTCACAGGCCTACCTGGATATTTGCGCTTGAACGAGGTGACCCCTAGGTATTCGCTGACTTGTTCCTGAAGCATGTAGTATTCTCCTGTGTCATCAGAAGGCCATTTGTACTCAATGAGATTTTCGGCGGGGAAGTATGTGGACCTGAGAAGAACGATGCTATTTCAGGGATATATGGGCACATGAGCTTTGTTATCTATGTTATCTACACACAGGTGTTTAAGGAAATCATCTTAACTTCCAGCAAGAATGTCTACCAAGATGATGTAAATACCCCAGATCCTGGCTGGAAGTGTCACAACTTCTGGAGCTGTCTCCCGATCCCATTCGACGACGTTTGGGAGCCTGGCTTCCATCATTGGAATTCTCCTCAATATCATCCTAAGGAAGAGGCCAATCAGAATATACGTTTCATATATTAGAATATGCTCTATGCGTTTAGCTACACTGGATGTTTCCGACTACAGATGACATTGCACACGAGCTGCAAGCAACAGAGCTTCAGAATTCAATTTTAAAAATGTAACTTGAAATTGACATGCAACAGCGTGCACTGCTTGTTTTATAGAAAGGGCTGTTAAACCACCACAGCCAGCTAGACGCGTCTTGCTAGCACAGCGGTCTTCTTCAGAGCCAACGGAGAAACACGGTCTAGAGGACGCGACTGGGAACTACGTGGAAGCACACCTAGAACTGAGAACAAGAGACATAGGAGGGTGCAGGCTAGATAGGCCTCCTCTGGTTTTCATTCGTACTGTATATTCCTATGGATAAGTCCACCGATAAAACACTTGCCCGCAGTTCAGAGCTTCCATGTGTAAAACAAAATCACTCTGTGGAAACAATAGAGAGGATATGTCTGCATTCTGACCTCTTTAAGTAACAAAATTCGTCCAATAATAATAATTGGATTGGATTTCAGCACTGATATGAATCTAGAAAAACATCAACAGCTTCCTGAGCACATCTGCCACATTCACCACTGGAAAGACCAGCAGAAAGTCAAGCAGATACTGTGTGTTCAGTCTGTTGCTGCTTTATGTAAAATCCCCAAGGGGCTCCTTCAGAATGAACAGGGAAACATGAGCCTGAGCACACAGGGGGACACAATGGGGATGTGTGCTCAAAACTCAGAAGCAGACACATGTCATTTCCAGGGGCAGTGAGAGTCTGGATTAAGCTACTCAGCTGGTGAACCTGACACCTTCAATTCTTTCACAAAACTGCTGGCTGTGCCCTTCAGATGAATTAGCTATAACTAAACAGGCTAGATGTGCCTAGCCTCAAGAACAGCCTCCAAACTATGTGTTATTTTGTATACCATTAGTGTTGAACGGGTTTTACTTTTTACTACTTTTGAAATGCAAATCCAAAATCAATTTAAATGCGAGCTTCGTTTTATCGAGATATCTCTCTGCTGGCCCCATCTACGGAGAGTATCTTAATACATCAGGCACAGTACACTGCATTTTAAACCATTCTGCCCTACATCACCTCCACGTTTTTACAAAATAAATTTTTAATTAACAAATTTCATCGCTGATGCACAACTGAAACTAATATTTAATTTTGTCACGTTACCCAATATCAAGAGAACATTCGTTATATCAATAATTCAAAATAAGACGGTAAAACCTCTTGCCAAAAAAGGTTCCTAAAGCACCACCAATTAAAAAAATAAAATATTAAAATATGTCTGAATAGTCCTATCCTCCTTCCTAAATAACGCCGTTTTCCGTCCCATTGCTGAAGTCAATGAAACTTGAGCACATATCCAGTGAGGTTTTTTTGTAATCTAACATTGATGTCTTCGTACATTTGTAATCTTTGTCTAGACAGTAGCAAACGAGGACTGAGCGGAGAAAGACACGATTAAATAAATAAATGCTCAACTAAAAAAATCAGAAATTTGCACCAGAAACTTTTGACTTAAATGATCATTTTGGATAAAGCGAGCAGTTATGGTACAGACTCAGGTACGTCTTGCAGATGACAGTAGTTCTCGCTTGATCAGACGCGCTCTGCAAAACGCATTATACAAAACCTGTCCATATACCTCCTTAACCAACAGCTGAACACTTGCCGAATACGAAACAGTGTAAGCACACCTCAAAACACACACACAAACAAAATAACAAAATACAGACATGCCATCATCCATCCAATACTGCACCGAAGGCACTTTTGATGACCGAGTTTTCCCAATAAAAAAACAAAAGAACTTTGTCAAATCGACCGTGATCTCTTTCCCGTTTCCGTAGAAAACACTTTCCGTGTAATACTCCTGCCTCTGCAGTGCACCTAACCTGGTTCACTGTTTGGCTTCTTGCAACTGTTCTTTCTGTTTTTACCTTGGTGGAGTGTGCCCCCGGAGTAGCAGGGCTGCTATCACACGATCTCGACGGTAGGACTGCAGCCATGTTTACACTCTGGAGTCTCCTTGTCCAGCAGATATAAAGCTACCCCAAGGAAACAAGCTACGCGTAACACAAAGTACCCCCCTTCGTGGATTTTGTGTATCTTTTAAAGTTTTCTCGGCTAATTTTAACATCTATACAACCCTGCGTGAGATGTTCGCTACAGATGCAGGCCCCAGCTCGTCAGACGTAACCATTATTCTTCATAATAAAGCCACAATATAAAAACTTTTAAGAGTTTCGTTTTTTAAAGGCCGTGGAACAGACTAACCGTCCTGTTTGTTTATGAATGTCAACTTTTTAAAAAAGGTTAACCTGCATTAAACCTGCAGTTGCGATTTCGGTTTACAACAGTTTCCATCGATAAAAAACGGAAAGGATCCTAACTAGGAGAAAAATGGCGGGGACTCGGGGTGGACTACGCGGAGAATAACAATCATTTTGATTGATGGGCGTTTGTAGACGCCATCTTACCTAGGTATCAACACAGTGGATCGAAGTCACTTCAGCACAATATTTCCACAGTATCAACCCGTTATCGGAAAAACACTTATTCCTGGCGAGGGTCGCTGCAAACCCAGCAAGCCTGATTGATTAAGTGTAGCAGAGCAGTCTTCCACAATACGTTTCAATTTTACAACATGTAATACTACTCATAAAAATTATTTGGTTTTATATTTCATTCCAAAATGCTTCATAAATAAAAGAGAAATCCCTTCACCCACCACTGAATTGAATCCCCCCATTTTGGAGATTTTATAATAATAATAAAATAATAATAATAATAATAATAATAATAATAATAGATAACGCTTACATACTGTAGCACTTTTCTGGACAGTCCACTTAAACTACTTTACAGGTAATGGGGACTCCCCTCCACCTGTAAAGATGATGTGACAACAGCCACAGTGTGCCAGTACACTCACCACACACCAGCTCTCAGTGGGGAGGAGAACAGAGTGGTGAAGCCAGTTCAGAGATGGGGATTATTAGGAGGCCAGGGGGAAATTTGGCAGGACACTCTTTTCGAGTAGGGATTTTTAATGACCATAGAGTCAGTACCTTGGTTTTATTTCTCATCCAAAGGACGGCGCCTTTTTACAATATAGTGTCCCCGTCACTGTACTGGGGCATTAGGACCCACATGGACCACAGGGTGAGCGCCCCCTACTGGCCCCCACTAACACCTCTTCCAGCAGCAGCCTTAGTTTTTCCTAGGAGGTCTCCTATCCAGGTACTGACAAGCCTCACACCTGCTGAGCTTCAGTGGGCTGCCAGTTGTGAGTTCCAGGGTGATATGGCTACCGGCGATTTGCAGTTCTAATGTGCTAGCAACCCGACTATAGAGAAGATTGCTATGGGAGTTTTAAGGGCCAGAATATGAGGACCCCAGTTAAATATCTCATATGGAGGATGACAATTCCTACAGGACAGCTTCCGTGCTTCTGCTTCCATAGGGAACAGTTCAGCGATATTGAAAAAGTCACTTGTTTTGTTCCTTCAGGGCTCAAGAACTTCGCAATTCCACCACTATGTTCAATGGGCTTTAAAGACAAAGTCCACCTCAGTGCTACTATCAAAAGCCTTCACAGAATGTGGATACATATTACATGTATTGACACACATATTCAAAATATAATTACTGTCAATTAATACATTTCTGAATAATGTATCTTAGCCAATCACTTTATTTCTTAGAGATAAGTTCTTCCCAAAAGAAACTTTCAATTACCGGGTTGAAATTTGATGCCCTATAAATGTTTACAGTAAAGTATTTGTATCAGTAGGGAAAGGTATTAGAAATGCTCGATATTAGTTCATAAATAGTGGCTGAAGTATGATGGTCAAAGTAGGTTAGTTGTAGTTTATTGGCCACTGTGTATGTACACCTGCCACCTTTATGCATAGTACTGAACAGACCCGAGTAAACAGTTCAAATGTCAATGTTTCTTTATAAATCAAATCCAGACATAATATTTACTTCACCAGATGGACAAATAAAAAAACAAAGATGTTACCATTTGGGCCACAATACAAAAGCAACTGTACATATTGTTGGCTGTTCTGACTGGTGCTTTCCATCCAAATGCAAATAAACATTTTTTTTACCACAAATAAATATAACACATCGAATTCCAAAACGTTTTTATTTCTGCATTTGGTCCCCGTGTTTAAACCCATTTTTCCAGATTGCTGCACATGATCAGGAGGATCTGTTAACTGAGACAGTGGCGTTTTCCCATAACAACTTGAGTTGTTAGCCTTCTTAGGATACAGAGGACGCCTAGGCATTGTTTTAAAACAGTATTTCAAGTATTATTTTGAGAATTCCAATGATGATGGTCCAAAGTACTGATTCTTCCTCCTGTATGTCCTCCGCAGAGACCTCCTGGTACCTTTTCTGTTTCCCCATGTCTTCTGGAGAATAAGAGCCTTTGGTAAAAGGATCCTCATGGACAGTCTGGTCATAATAGACTCTCATTTCAAACTCACTTTCCTGGTGAAAAGGGTGCCCATAAATGCCAATGCCCACGGGGCGTGAAAAATCCATGGGCACCACGACTACGTCTTGACCACAGGTGACCGACTGCAGTTTGTAGGTGTCAAAACTGGGGTGCAGGGTGCTATCAGAAACATAAAGGTCAGCATCACCTTTGAGGCTCTGCATGTGCAGGATGATCTTGCCATTGTGGTTTAGTCTTAAGTAGCTGTAGTTCCCTGCACCGATATGCCCCTGTACCACATGCAGGAGAACCCATTCATCAGGAATGACTTCCTCCTCAAAGCTGTGCAAGAAGCACCAGGCCTGTGAAAGGAACAGCACTGTGCACAATTTACTCCAGTGCAGCACCATGATTGGGAAAGGCTTTCCTCAAGGAAGGGAACCCAACCTCTATCATCTGTCAATGGCCTGCAATAAAGAAAAACCGCAGTTTAGTCCCAGGTACCGACACAAGCAATAAAACTATGATCACACGAAAAAATAAAAATGAGATTAACTTAAAATCTCTGGACATCATTTCTTCATAATGCACGACCTGTTCCATAACTGGCTTGTTGTATTTCTTTGGAAATCACATTTTACAGCCCAGTTCCACATGCACTCTAATGTATCAGAATTAGTAGCACAGCAGGGCGCAGCAGAAATAGATTTCATTAACATGTATGAGGAAGAATACAAATGAAAGGAACAAACTAGCAAACCTCTCAAGGCAGTGATTTTAAATTGTATGACATATAAGCCTAAATAAAAACCATGCTGTAGTTTCCATACCTGGTTTGAAGAGTCATACCAAACACCCAGACTGTAAGCTGACACCTGTGGTAACATGGAAGCTCATATCCAATCCCTACTATGGCTTCACAGCGTCTGAGCTATTAATAGTACAGAAGCATTTGCGTTCATAAGCACCAGTAATGCACTGCTTGTAATAACACATATTATATCTGACAGTTTACAGTTCTCCTTTTGTAGACATTTGCATGAAAATTGCAGACTCACAGACAAGAAGCTGGTGCCTGGCTGAAGCTGTCCTAGAATAATTATGTTTCTTACTCATTTTGCCAAGAGCAGAAAATAATATCTTAGGATTCTGAGGAAACCAGAGTTCATAAGATCAATAATTTAGGAACTGGGGAAAACAAAACTGCTGTCTCAGTTTCGTTTTCACTCATGAATTATAAGATAATTTACTCATACAGTATATTACTTGTCATCACAAAATCTCAAGAGATAGTAGAAAAGCCTCAATTAGATGATGTATTCAAGTTCACTGTAAACCCTGTCGATTTCTGCCGAGTTCAGTCCAATTCAAAATAATATATTGATTACAAACAGATATATGGTCAGTATGTAAAAATGTATATTTGAAAACGTATATGATTTCTCACAAAGGCATTCTGACTGAAAATATAAGAAGTTAAAAGATGAGAATGGCTTACTGGTAAAACATAAAAAGACACATACTTTGTTTACTGTAAAGAAACAAACACCCCTTGCTTTATGGGCAACAGATCCTGCAGTTTTTATCTTGTCACATTAGTAACCATTCGTGAAGTGTTGCATTGGTCAAGTAAAGCAAAGCATCAGTTCAGTTAAGTGGCACCCAAAGACACCAGAGTTCTGCAGCACTGGTCTTGACCCATCTCAGCTTATATAGGGACCAAAGTGTTCCAACGCAACAGTAGTTTGTAATACCAGCCACGCAGATCTCTTCCACATCTGTCCACTTGATCATCATGAAATGTGGGATTAATTTCACAGGCACTTGCACTATCAACCCTAAACCAGCTGATTGGAAAAACAAAGATGCAGACTTTCAAGCGTACCAGCTACAGCAATCAACTTAGGCCTACAAACCGAACTTTTTTTTTTCTATTACATATGAAGATATGGAGCGGAATATGGTATATGTTGGCTTTAAAGATCCGTTTTTTTTTCTTTAAATCGATGTTTCATCACTAAAGAAATAAAATGCGATTTTGCCATTGGCTCAGGATCCCAGCTTATTTCACCAACATTTTAGCATAAGCCCTAAAGGTAGAACAAAGTTCAATTTACAGTACGTGCGCTACAGTACAAGCTGCTTAGAAACAAAGAAGTCACTTGTAAAATGATAAAAGGCATCTGTTGTTGCTACGGAGCTCCGGGTGAACAGTATAAATAATGTCACGCTCTTCGCGTTTATAAAAAGAGCAAGGCTTAGATATTGTAGAACTGCGTCGAATTAAAAATAAAAACCCTTTAGCACTCAGCCCAATGTCCTTCCGTAAACATAAGCGTGATCTGAAAACAAAAACTGACAAACGTCAGCATTTGACAGCGGTCAAAGACGGCCACAAGCTGAAAAAAGTTAACTTAAGACTAGAGCTCTTACGATACACCCTGAACAGCGATCCTTGCTTAGGACAATTAAACCCCGAATAACGATTAATCACGTACAAAATAAAAACTACAAATGCACGTGCAAAAAAAAAAATTAAAACAAACCTTTACCATAACTCAACCTTGTTGTGTTTAACACGATTCTTACCGAAAGCAACTCTTGCTCCATTTCTCCACCATGCCAGGAGGCACGCAAATACCGTTCAACCTCGCGAGAACGCAAGGCCTCTCGTTCAACTACCATAGATAGAACAAGATTTCTAGATGTGCTATAGTCACGCTCGCTCAGACGTGTAGTCCGTTACCATATTGGTAGAGTATATAATACAGTCCCTTCTTGTCCGTAAAAAAACATAGTCCTGAACTATGAAACTACTTAATCAGTATATATTGAATTCTAATCAGTATAATCAAACCTTCAACAAGACACTCTAAAATCCCAAATCCTAAAACAGCTTTGTAAAACAAACACAGGGAGTTTTCACAACTTATGAATTCATGACAGGTTTCTCCCCATGTTAGAATATATGCTGAGCTGTAAAACATTTTTTTACTTACAACTTTTTAAAACTTTATATACACAACTAATTATATGCCAATCAAAACACTACAATAATGGAACTGTGAGGCTGATCTGTAGACTCACACAAAATTCAGGTCATGGTGCTCTTCTGTACTGGGTAATCAAATCTACAATACAGAACCATATTGATACAATGTATTGGATCATAATGTGTGTTCAATTTAAAATAAGTGAAATATATCCATCCATTTTCTAACCATTCTATCCAGTGCAGAGTGACAGGGGACCTGGAGTCTATCCCAGCAAGTAATACTGGACACCAGTCCATCGCAGGGCAGACACACACACACACCAGGGCCAATTTTCCCAGATGCCGACCAGAATTAACCGACCATCATTTTTTGGGGACTGTAGGAGGAAACCCAAGCAAACAGAGTGAGAACATGCAGACAGCATCCCAGGTCCAGAACGTCTGTCCCCTGTAAATTGCACTGACTCCCTGTGAAATGTATAGAGGACTGTTTACATGTTTCTCCTGAATATATATAAGATGCTGAATGGTCCAGCCCCGGGTTCTGTTCAGGAGTTATCTCTTGCATACAGTCCAGCTCTTCACGTTACAGTACATCAGTTTTCCCACTCTGCCCAGTTCTGCGGAAATTCTTCAAAGATACTGAGACCCAGTTCAATTCAGTTTACTTGTCGTGTGCACTAGTGCAATGCAAAGTTTATTTATATGTATGCTCCGATTCACAGACACTAAGGAATCACCCAAAGTTTATTTAGATCCAAATAAGGTGTACCTAAGTTTGAGTAAAAAAATATTGATCCGATATCCGCAAGCAAGAGCAGGTTGGATACAAAAAGCCCACAACACAAAACACACAAAGACGTACAGACAAGGAGCCACGTGCAACACGTCGGCACTCTCCGGGGCTATGTTGTCAACATTTTAAAACTTTCTATCTTACACTAAAGCTTTTGATATCGAATTCCCTTTTACTCTTGGTTTCAGTAAAACCGCATGCTGTTCAGTGCACAGTGTTTCTCGAGAAGCGCGCATAAATCTGACTGTATTGTCAGAATAGTCAAGTTTTTTTCTCCGATGAAAAGTGTCTTTTCATGACACATGATATGACCCTTGTGCACAATGAAGTTATGTTCTTGTCGAACCTGAAAGATATTTTATATGCTGCAGATTTCGAAGGCGCGCGCCGTAGAGTAACTACGGTAACGGCTTCCAGACGGACATGCGCGTTTGCATTTCCAGCCCTCTTCCGCTTCCTTTCTGCCTCCTCTGGTCGGCTTGTGGAGGTTGTTGATAATGGTTTGTGTTACACGTGCTGGCATTTTTCAGCGTTTTCCGTGATCTCAAAGAGCAGGGGACACAAGATTTGTTCATTCTCGAGTACTTTCGCGTCTAGCCTTTGCAGTTTTCCAACCGAGAGACGCCCCCATCCACTTATTCCGATCACGTTAACTAGTAGGAGTTAGAAGCCAAGACGTCTTCACTGACTCTTACCTGTGTAATTTGTCGCCGAATAAAACTGTAATGAAATTGGAAGTACATTAAATGTTCATTGGGGTTCAGGGCTAGGTTGGCTGGTTGTTATTTTTTTTTTTGGCTTCGCATTTTTTGGGGTGTTTTGTCAAGCATTCCGCGTTTCCCGGGGATTTCTTGTTGTTGGCTACATTTTTTTTTTTACATAATGGGGGCTTACTTGTCGCAGCCCAACACTGTAAAAACCACAGCCGATGGAGGGAATACAAGTCTGAGCTACGGATTTGCAGCCATGCAAGGCTGGCGGGTTTCAATGGAGGTAAGAGCTCTCCGTCGCTGGCTTTATAAAGGTCCTTGGCGCTCCGAGCTGAAACACGGGGCACAATCCCACTCATTCTCTCCACTTTTGATAAAACCCTCCCGGCTTTTCGAACACCTCATCTTGGCACTTGGGAATCTTAAAACACTTCAGTTTTTTTTAAGCTCTTCTATTAAATTGCCTAACACCCTTTGAGAGAAAGCTAGAAACGTGCTGGCTTTGTTATTCGTCTACTTTTACGGCGCGGGAATTGAATGAAAATATTTTGTTACCTCTAGAAACGCAAGCCGTTGTTTTATTTACTCCGGATCTGATTTTCCACAGTCCGAGACTCCTTCTGGCGCTTTAGTCTTACACAGTTTTGAGCCTCCGCGTTGAATTCTCCCCCCGACCACGTCACGGGCACTTGTAGCTCAGTCATCGGAGCATTTCGCAAACTCCCAGGTGCCGAGTCTGCTCCCCATAGCTGGCCTTCAAGACTTTTTTAGACTTCATGCTTACGGTATTGGAGGAGGTTGAGGCGAAAAAGCTGTGCTGCAGATAAATGGCATTCTAGAAGAATTATTGGGATCTGTCTGCAAATATAGGAAAATGTGGATGTACACGACAGAGCAGGGGATCTCCAGCCTTTATCTTCAAGGGTTGAATTAAGCCATTACATTTACATACCAACCAGAGCTGTGAAATGGCTGTGGGGGTTAATCATTGTAGGCATCTGTATTAACCTATGCTAGCATGGAGATAGTGCTGCTATTCTTGAGCAATCCTACAACCATTATGAGTGTTTGCAAGCAGTAGGCCAGATGTCTGATAATGACTTATACTCATTTAGAATTCATGTCCCTTGTCATACTAGCATATCTGAAATAAAACGTATAGACAGCTGAAGCACCCTGTTACATCGGTACGTTTTACAAAATTCTATGCACATGTTTTTCATGCAAGCCTGAAATGCACCGCATTGACAATCCATCACGTGCTGCAACACGGAGGCTTTGAATACCAGCTTCAGACAGCCCTGGAGATGGAGATTATGAAAGGCAGCTCTTTTCACAGGGAGCTGGTGGTGTATTGATAACCAGCTGTGTACCCATAACAGGGGAGATGAGTCTCTGAGTCTTTGAAAGAAAAGTCGGAACTGCTGGCTCTTATTTACAAACAGCTTTAAGTGACTGAATTGAAGGGCTTTATTCTTCCTTTCAAACTGGAGCTCTTTGGTTTGCCTTGAACCAGTGAAGCTGCCTGTGCTCTGTGCCTCAGCTCGGAAGGACTCTTGCCCGAGCACGGATTCACTCATCTAGGTGTCACGGGTTCGAGTCAGGGACACGTCGCTCGCCGACAGAAGCACTGGTGCTCAGCCGGTAATGAGGGTAGTGTTGGCTCGCTCGGCTCTCGGCGGCGCTGGCGATCCTGTGGTCTGTCGGCTACCTGCGAGCGCGCCGTGCCGTCGATGGGGGAGTGCCTCTCCTCTCCCTGGGGCTGGACCTCCAGCCCTGGACTGAGGCTCAAAGGTGGGCGAGTCGGAGGAGCCATCTACAAAAGGCTTTCTCCCCTTGTATGTGGTCCAGGGGGATTGTTTTCGTGTCCCGTGGCTACACGCAATTTAAGGTTATAACGGAGAAATAATTGCCAATACTAAGATGTTAAAAAAACTGCTCGCGCCCATCGTCTTCTTTTTAAGGGGCGATGGACTGCTGCCGTTTGTTGGACTTTTGCTCCGTGAAGTGATGTTGTTTTGTTTCCTCTTTCCAGGATGCTCATAATTGTATTCCAGACCTGGATGAGGAGACAGCCATGTTCGCGGTGTACGATGGGCACGGAGGTAGTATCGGCAAACAAGGGGGGAACTGGCTTGTTTTATTCTGCTGTATTGTCCTGCACTGTTTTTACTGGTCTTGGAACACCTTAGGTTTATACACAGTGACAGTGTAGGTTGCTAGCAGCCAGGAGACTATTTGACAAATACACTCAGTCCACAGAAAGGTTGTTTTTTTAAAGCCTTTTCATACTTCAAGTTGTTCTTAAGTCAGCACAATTTCTGGAAGCTTTAACATGTTCCAGAATTCTCTGTCCACTGAATAATTGTCCCAGTAGTCAGATGATTAAGACCAAGAGCATTGCAAAGGCAAGACAGCGTTTTTGTGATCTCCACTTTCATTCCATCTTCTTCTTTTAGGATTTGATTCATCTTTGTCACTTTGCCTATCTCCTTCCTCAGCCATTTTTGAGGGCATTTATAACTCATAGTAACCTCAAAATCATAAAGCAAAAGTCGGATGTTAACGTTAACACATCCACGCTGCCAGTCAGTCAGCAGCTCACTGTACCCAGTAACATTGAGCAGCAGCAGCCCTTCAGTATGCTAGTGAGCGATACAGTGAGTTAATTCACCACTCCATCATGTGAAATTCTTCAGATTTCTTGGGGATTCTGTTCATGTGCTGTTCTTATGTACGGATGTGCATATCTTGATCGTTTGTATGTTGAGGACTGAGTGTATTTGATAGAATTAACTGAGCAAATGTTTGAAACATTCATTTTTTCACTCTTAAGCATTTTAGTTAGTATAATGTTCAATTCTTCCTTGATTCATACAAAGACTTGTACCAATCAATATCACCATACAAAGATTGGGAAGAAAAAACACCTATAATGCCGGGAGGCGAATAAGTCAGTTTGCCCACAAGGAGAATAAGCCTCCATTTTGTACCTGAAGGCTCTCGGGGTCTCTGTGTGGTTCCAGTCCTGGATGAACTGTAGCAGCGTCTTTCTGGTCGCTGATGGAAGAAGAATGACTGTGAGCTCCAGCAGCCTAGTAAAGAGGCGCTGATGGCCCTTCTGTCACTAAAGAGGGCAGTTACCTGTTGGGCTTTAAGTAAAATTCCCTTCAGAACCAGGGAGATGTCCTTTTACAATTCGCACAGAATGACCTCTCGTTTGTATCTGTATGTTATAATGAAAGGAGCTTTTGCTGGGGAAGAGAAATAGCTGAACGAATGGATTTCTAGTAAGAAGAGTGTTTGGTTTTCCTTGTCCCTGTAAAAAAACACCTTGTGTGATTGTCTTTTCAAAGGTGAAGAAGTTGCTTTATACTGTTCCAAATACCTCCCTGAAATTATAATGGAACAGAAGACGTACAAGGATGGCAAGCTACAGAAGGTAAGGTTAGACGTGTGTTAGAACCTTTTCCAGCTCGTGGGCGGAGCTTTCTCTTCTAAACAATTCCTGAACTTTAATGAGGCACAATTAAACTAGTAGCGATGGCAGAGGATCACTTCTGGCTGATGATGTTTGTGTGCCTAAACGTGAATAGATGTTTCTACTAGCCAGCGATGCTGTCCGAGGCCTCTTGTGTGAAGCCTGTTCGGGTACTTTTTTTAAAGTTAGAGGGCTACAGCCATCACGGATGGGAATTGACATGGGCTGTAGTATGTTGTGACTTTCTTGTGGTTTAAAAAAAAACAGTAAAATAACCATAGACAAAAGTTGAAATCCTGTAAAAACGAGCTGTATACCTAGTTACCTAGAAAAGCAGAATTAAATTAATTTTGTCCTAAGTGCTAAAGTGAGCTCCGAAAGTGTTTCCCAGCAATGCATTAGACTTTTATATATAGAACTTTGAGCCAAACTCAAATTCTTCACCGGTGAACCAGCTCATAGTACAGATTGTGAGCAGCAAGGTAGCACGAGAAGTTAGTTATTCGGACTGAAGCAAAACTTGTTTCCTGTTAGGCTCCAGTGTGCGTGGTGCAGATTCCTTGGGGTTTGACACTGATCTGTGGTTTGAAATGTGCTCTAGGCTCTAGAAGACGCCTTTCTGGCCATTGATAGCCGGATGACCATGGATGAAGTGGTCAAAGAGCTGGCGCAGATTGCTGGCCGACCTCAGGAGGATGAAGTGAAAGAGAGAGTGGCTGATGAAGACGACGGTAAGATTCCCTTTGAGCGCCGTATCGTGTCAGATAGAAGGCATTGAATTGCGTACATTTGCATTTTGAAAGGTAGTAGATGTGCTGCATAGGTTGTGACCTAGAGCCGCTAGAGTCAGTGTTTGAATAGAAAGAAATACAACCTTGCTCTCTGTAAAGTGCCTGTAGTCTTACTGAATTCAATTAAATGTTTTAGATAATATTTCCTACAAGAGAGCAGTAAAACGTGGTTTGTTGCAACAATGCCAGCTGTGCACTGATGTGCTGTTATTCCTACGTGCTGTTTTACAACACATTATTTATAAAGCGTCTTTCCAGGTCAAAGCTCTGCTAAAGCGAGAGCACGCCTGTGAACGGTAATGATGTTGTCACATGGTTCATGCCTGTTTCTCCCTCCGTCTTCGTCGGCGCAGTCGACAACGAAGAGGCGGCCCTGCTGCACGAAGAGGCCACGATGACGATCGAGGAGCTGCTGATCCGCTACGGGCAGAACCTCAACTCGATCAAAAACGCGAAGAAACCCTGCCACCCCACGAAGAAAGCAGCCGGGCCGGAGGACGGAGAGGACGCCTGTCCGGACAAGGACATTAACGGGGAGGCCGGGGGCACGAACTCGGAGCCGGGCGGAAAGAACGGCAAGCCCAAACCCGCGGCAGGGAAGAGCTCCGGCTCAGACGCGAGGGGCAGCCGGAGTTCTGGCGACGGGGGGTCGGGCCCCTGCCCCGCCGATAAACCCCAGGCCGAGGGGGAGGCCGCGTCGCCCACGGGGGACGCCGGACCCTCCTGTTCCTCCTCTGCGGCGCAGCCACAGTGGAGCTCCAAGTCCAAGTTCTTTGAGGACAGTGACGAGTCAGAAGAAGCAGAGGACGAAGAGGAGGAAGACAGCGAGGAAGAGGTGCGTGTGACAGGATTCTGGGCTTCGACGTTTCTCCCCAAATCTTACTATCGCAAAACACGCTTTCACAGTACTTGGTTAACAATGCCTGTCTGCTCTACCATGATGAAAAGAACTGATCTGTTTCGGGGGTCAAGATTTCATATTCACAGTTGTGTGACTATAATATTTCTACTTCTGAACAGAAGGTTAGACAAATTTCTGAAACCACTGATTAAATTACTTGTAGTTTTCAGTAAGCATTTTGTACTTGTTTGCAGGTGATGTGTAATGTTTAAATGTCAATAGAAACCATGATTAAAATAAACAAGCTACTAAAATTGGATTGCAATTCGCATAGATCGGAGCTTTGACAGCGATAGTCTCTGTTGGTCTTTCTGGGTTACAAGAGAATCCTGTCCTTCATTCTCAGTTTAGTCATTTCTGACTGCATTCTTGTAAAGAAACTTTGAGGCATTAACAGTGTGTTTCACGGTTCAAGATTAAATATTTTCTCTCGTAAAGGATGGAAGCGAGGAAGATGAAGGAGAATACAGCAGTACAGAGGAAGATGAAGAGGAGGAGGACAGTGACGCAGAGGATGAAGAAATGTGCCTTCCTGGAATGGATGGAAAAGAGGAGGTATTTCCTTGTTTCTGTTCTATGTAGTTCCTTGTTCTATTCTGTTCTATGGGTACGTAGATTAAAAAATTGCATTACTGAGAACTTCTTGTCTTATTTGGGTAACAAAAAACATGAGATTTTTTTAATTGAAAATATCAAACATTGAACTTTTTCCAAAGTCCATGAGTTACATCCAAAAAAAATCATTTAAATTTCTTTTGAAAATCAGAACTTTCAGAGGATTTTCTGTCTTGATACTTTGTGATTGAAAAAACAAGAGTTTAGCTTGATTCAAGCATGTCAACTTCAAAAAAACATCTCTCAAACTACAATGCAGTCTATCTGGCAAGCTTGTTTTCTTTCTAAATTTGCCCTGCAAAGGTAGGGTATGTAGAACAGAAATTGAAAAGAAAAAGGTTAAGGAGGATTTATGCAAACTCACAACAAGATCCAGAAAACTCCTTTCTCGAAGCAGATGCAGCGCACAGATTTCCAGATTGTAAGTTGTACTCAATACACCTGTGGATAAAGGTCTGCAGAGATGGTGGGGATTTGGAACACCAGGACTCTGTACATTGCTCTCCCTCGTGTTTAGCCCGGCTCAGACAGTGGGACCACAGCAGTTGTAGCTCTGATCCGAGGAAAACAGCTGATTGTGGCCAACGCCGGCGACTCGCGCTGCGTGGTGTCCGAGAAGGGGAAAGCAGTGGACATGTCCTATGACCACAAGCCAGAGGACGAGGTGGAGCTGGCGAGGATCAAGAACGCAGGCGGCAAAGTTACTATGGATGGGAGAGTCAACGGGGGGCTCAATCTCTCCAGAGCCATTGGTAAGAGCTGTTTTATTTTCCTGTGTGAGATAGCACCATTATTATATATATATATAAATAGCACGTCTCATGGTGCATCAGCTCAAGGATTTGGAAGATCTGGGTGCTTGGATCATTATATTAGATGTAATGCTTTTCAGTCAGCTATCTTGTAGAATTCAAAGGAACCAACCGATAGCTTTTTGATAGTGCCAGGCATATTTATCTTAAATTCAGTAATGCTGAAAAACATCCCACTATGTTCTCTGAAGATTTACCCACCTTGTCTTGGGTGAACAGGTTTTCGGGGTTCTCTAGTGTTGAAGACAGTGCAGTCCATTTGATAAATGGTCAAAACATGATGGCTTCTGTTCACATTTGCTGGATGCAACCTGAATCGGTTCAGCCATCCATCCATTTTGGATTGTAGGTTTTGGAGGAAACCCACACGAACACAGGGAGAATATATAAACTCCACAGAGATAGCAGTCCAGGTCCAGGATTGCACCCAGGGACCCAGTGCCGCAAGACAGCAATGCTAATGTGCCGCCTGAATAAGTTATTGTGATGTTGTGTTATTTCAGGCGATCACTTTTACAAACGGAATAAAGCCCTGCCTCCCGAAGAGCAGATGATTTCAGCTTTACCCGATGTCAAAGTGTTGACTCTGAACAAAGACCATGACTTCATGGTCATTGCCTGCGATGGAATCTGGTAAGTAAGGAGAGGGGTTGCTGGGGAGGGAGATCAGTCAATCAGTTCATTCCTGACTTGCAGGAAGGGTGAAACTGCAAATGTTATACATTTTGAAAAGTGTAGAAACTTGCATTCGTCATTTAGTAGTTACACATTCTTAAAGGCATGATAACCCAGAATGAAGAATGATCTCAGAAGAGACACAGTGCACCCACCTACACCACGATCTTTCTGGCTTTTTATTTCTCTGTGGTTTCTTTATATTTTAGGTAAGTATGGACAGCATGTCTCTGAACAAATGTCATTCTCTTCTGCAGGAACGTCATGAGCAGCCAGGAAGTAATAGACTTTGTCAGTGAGAGAATAAAGCCAAATGAAAATGGTGAAGTTCGACTACTGTCCTCCATTGTTGAAGAGGTAGGTTATGTATTCCTTGGAGCAACACTTAAACGTAAAGAGAGAATTTAAATAAGGTTATGATGACCTTAATGTGCATCTTCTCCACAAGGGCACAGAAATATTCAAACGCTTGTGTCTGTTGCTTTGATATTCAGGTGCTAGCAGTTCTTAAATGAGCCAGGTCTCCATGCAATACGGCCGTATTCTAAGCTGTAAAAATGGCCGTTGCAAATATATTAATTCCAACTTAAAGAAAAACCAGGCGAGACTGGCCCAAATCATTGCTAGATGCTGTTTCCTCTCTCGTGGCAGCTGCTGGATCACTGCTTGGCTCCCGACACCTCAGGGGACGGAACCGGATGTGACAACATGACCTGCGTCATCGTCACCTTCACGCCACAGCCCTCCTCCAGCCCGGCCGAGGGGAGCAAGAAGCGCAAACCAGAGGAGAGCGCAGCCGAGAAAAATGGGAACGACAGCAAGAAGTCTAAAACAGAATAGCCGTCCCGTTAAATGGGTTGATCCTTTTTAGAAACAAATCAGACTTCAGACTTTTTTTCCTTATTTTTTTTTAAAGGATTTTTGCCGAAGTATTCAGCTTTGAAGAATGTCCTTGTTCATCGGGGGGATTTCTATTAGATTATCTTAAATATGGAGAAATTGTACATGTAAATCAGGAACTGTTCGTTAATTTTTATTTTCCATCAGTCTGTTTAGTATGTCATATGTTGTCGTTCCCCCCCCCCCTCCTTGCCACATGATCATAAACATGCCTCTCCCATGATATTCCAGTGCTCAAATATGTACTACAAAGAAGGATTATGTTTTAAGAAAGATGAAAGACGTCTGTGGATTTCAATGTACAATGTAACATGTATATATGTTCTTTTCCATATTTGTCAACTTTTAGTCTAAAGATTGCATTAACTTTTTTTGGGTAATTGTGGAGCAATGTGACATATGGTGCCTATTCCTTCAACACCAATATGTAAGTACATTCAAATACATTTTTTTAAAAAATTAACATGCAGAAAAGATCTGGTCTGTTTTGTTTTGGATTTTTATTTTCCAGTAGAAAGCTTAAGCATATGGGAAGCCGAAGTCTCACCTCAAAGATCCCGACAGCTTCAGGGATCTTTGGTTTTATATCCAGCTCAGTTCTCATTACCTTAATTAAACGCGTTATTGGCTTGGTTAGTCAAAATGAGCGAGCTCTTCAACCTCCAATTGCAGACAGACCCATAGATCCTGGAGGGTCAGGGTTCTCAAGGACCAGAGCTAGGGGCCACTGATCTAAAGAAATCTTTTAGTCTTATTTCTGATTCTTATTCATTCAGGGATTTCAAAACAAGGCTTCCCAATGTGGTCCGTTTGGTTTGCCAAAAAGCTAAATTGTTTTTTAGCAAAGGAAATGAAAGGATAAGAAAATGAATTCCCATGATGGATATTGAAGGTAAATATTTTGTGTCAAGCACTTAGTTGTAATGAGACTATAGTGTACCTACAAAGAGAGAGATGATGGAATTTAGAAAATTGTTTCATCTGGGGGGAGTCTGGCTTTATTCCTGGAGGACCATTGTTTTTTGTCTGATATCAGACCCACATTTACAGCTAAATGGTTTGTCTCACCTGATGTACTAATGAAATTTAGGACTTCTCTCCAAGCCTTCAAATGGATTGTGGGCATTGTGCTGTGTGAATAAAGTCCAATTTGACCTCAAAGGCGAAGTATTAGAATAATTAGAAAGGGGTCTTAACAAAATGCTCTGTGGCCCCTGAGGACCTGACATCCTCCCTGCCTTACAGTCAGTGTTCCACGTTTTTGGTTCTTGTTTTATAGCAACCTACCTCCCTTCAAAAAGCCATTATCAGCCATTGTGTCTTTACTAAACCACACCTGAGAATGTATTCACTGTCCCCTGGGTAGATATATTGGCTATAATTGTTTACAGTATTGTAATTTTTCCAGTATTATATATCGGGATGTCTCCCTTCACCGCTGGTGCAAATAAATGCCCGGCAGTATGGAGCTATAAGTTGGGAGCGTACAGGACTGAAAGTAATGAAACAAGCAATGACATTAGTGATCAGTATTTCCACCTGTCAACTCCTGCAGGAACTCGTGGCACCAAACTGTGAGGCTGAGAACTTAATTGCAAGGCAGCTCTCCTTGTTTCATAATTGCTGTGTTTTTACCTGGGAAGCAGAGCCAAAGGTAAGTTAGGTGTCACATGAACAAAGTAAACACTGAAAATGTAGCCTTACACTGTAACGCAGTTAATCAGACCCCTTTTGAAACTGCAAAAAAAGCGAAGACTTCAAATAAATCTAGAGGCTTTGGAATATCTTTCACTGGCCTAGCTGATCGGTTTCAGAGGGCAGTCAGTAATTCCTGGTTGGCCATTCCTCAGGAGTCACAGAGTTTCTATTTTTACTTCGTTTTTGCTATTTTTAAAGAATTATTTGACCGCAGTGGACTTCATCTCTAAGTCCTCCCGAACTGTGATGTCCGGGGCTGAACCGGGCCTATACTGCTGTAGCACGTAAGAAGGAGATGACCACACATCTACCTCGACGATGTAGTCTTATCAAAAAACACAATGGTGCACAACTCCAGTTCCCAAGAGCAAGAATCCAGGAGGGTTTCTTTTAAATCATCCGCAGATGAAGATCTTTGAGACGTTTGAAATTGGTCCATTTAAATTATTATGCTCTTAATGATCTCATTGAGCTGAAGAGGTGAGAGAAAAACTGACAGACATTGCAGACCTCTGAGACTAGAGTTGTGTGCCACTAAACTAGATCTCTGAAATCTTTATTAGCATCTTGATTTTTTCATGTTTATCTTAATGGTGTCTCTTTCTTCTCTCTCTCCAGGCTTTCTGCAACGGGTCAATTGCAAACATTTTATATATGAAGTATTTTAAATGTGTATATATATTGGAACTTTTCCAAAGCATCTTTGTATTAGTTAGGATGATTAAAACAGTTCAGAAATCAGATGACATTGTTTCTTGCATTGTCAATAAATCTAAAAATGGAAACTAACGTGTCTCAAAACTCTTGTTGGTTTTATAGTGGCAAGGTGGGCTTTCAGGTTTCAGGCACAACGAGGAAACGAGTTGTACTCTGAACACTAAGATTCTAAAATATTTTTGGACTCAAATGTGTTAATGAGGTGTTTTCTTAAGAATTCGGGGTTAAGGAAGAGTTCGCATATATGTATATACTATCAAAAGAAACCACTCACTCGCTCAAGAAAAATAGAAGTACACAGATTCTGGATATTGATTAAACGCTGGAGTTTTGATTGATCGTTTATGACTCACTATGATACATGCATGAGATGCGATGACTGTTAACTGAGTGAGACGGTTCATTTGGGCACAGATGATGAAGTGATCTAAACCGTTGAATGATGTCTGGTGAAGATCAAGACCGAAACACAGGAAGGAAATCGTGTGCCCTAATGATCAAGAGATCAACGCCTTTGGGATTTAGGATTGATGGACGTTGCATTAAATATATTCACTGTTGCATTGTCATAATCTGGAGAAGAATGTGGTTGATGTCTAGATGTCTTTTAAAAACTCCGACCGTAGTACTTGGATGTTCATCTGACTCAGGCTTGCGTTTTGGAAACATTACTTGTGAATGAGTTACCTGTATTTTAGCCTAAATCAGATTTATCAGATTTTATCATCTTTAATTTTCTATCACTTGCTTATGAAAACGATTATCAAAAACGCGCTTCACTGTGATATGGAGAGCAAGCTGGGGTATGCGAAAAGACAAATTCCTAATGCAAGAAATTGTATATGGCTAATAAAATTATCTTATCTTGTCTTATATTCCGATATCACGATTCAATGCCTGTAAAATGAACACTCATCCGCAGTGCAGAACTATCCCTTTGTAGAGGCACGGTCGGGGTGACTTCAGGGTGAGCTCTAAAATTGTAAAATAAATTTTACAATGAGTTACAAAAAGTTACAATTAACTCAATTTAAGATCTTATTCCTCCACTTTCCCCTCATTATTATTTATGCAAAGTTTTTTTTTCAAAACGTTCCAATAACTGGAAAAGATTCCGGGAAATGACTGTTGCCAATGAATAAGTATGGTTTATGGAGTAATTACACTTTCCAAATAAATGTCAGCGACACCAGCAGATTTATCCGGCAATAATGCAAAGTATTTCCAAGAATGTGTGGGGTGATCCTACATTATCTAGAACTCATCGTGATACTGTTATTTAAACAGGAAAAAAACAAACAAACAAACAAACAAACAAACAAACAAACAAACAAACAAACAAATATCCTCAGTCCGGGAACTGTGTCTGACAATATCCTTCAGTTAGATCAGCGGTCTCTTGTTTGGAAAATGATATGGATTATTGATCTTATTGATTGATTGACCTTATTGATCTTTTCTATCCTGTAGGTCTAAGCGACACAGGCGAAAAGGTCAAACGTTCACACCGTCGGAGCCAAAACAGGCTGAATATGACACTCCGGGCTTCAGCTGGATACACAAACAATAGACTGTAAAAATGCAAATATATCAGAACATGTTGCAGGATGCCTGCCTTTCACACCTGTAAAGGTGCAAACGGACTCTCGTAATTTAATCACGAAAACAGAAGCATCGTGTGAAATTATACAGAATTTACTTGTCAGTGATTTTAGTATTACCGAGAACAAAAATCTTCTTGATCCAACTGTTTTACTTTACGACTTTAGTTTTTTTTCTGTTACAGCACCACCTATAGAAATCATTGCGTCTGTGCTGAAACACCTCTACAGACACACGGGCCGGTAGTTGTAATTGTAACCCTTGTCGAGTTGCACACTATCTCCCTCCCTGCAACCATACGCTTGCCTGACCAGAAAGCTATCTGCGCATTTGTTCCCTTTTATATGGTAAGCGCTGTACTACTAATTGTGAGCCTTGCGCATGCGACTGTGAGCTAAGTAATATGGTGGTGTTCAGGGAGATCGGAAGCTCTGCGGTGGGCGAACACACTTTGGGAATAAAATTAGATGAAAACTTTCATTTCCGAGCTTGGCGTGCGCTAGTCTAGTTTAGGGTCATCGTGTTGCGGCTTGTTCTGTGGGCGCCGTGGGTGGAGAACAGTGGTAGCGCACACAATGTCATGTGCAGTTTTGCACGCTGGGTATTAAAACAGCCGCATTTTAAAGACACCAGATTATTCAAAGGCGATGTCTATCTCGATCGTGGCCTTACGGACTGTGAGCTGCAGTGCCAGAGTGCACAGCTGGGCCGCTGCCCGCTCCGCTCTCCGGAGACTTTCTCAGAGGTGCTGCCCTGACAGGATCCCTGTGTCTGTGGGAGGAAGGCAGCCATGCAGACTATCAGGAGACCCACGGATGGGAAGGAGTGTGCATCTTTCTCACCCTGCGATGACTACAAACTTGCTCTCACCCGAGGAGCTGTTCCGAGAGAGATCGCTGCAGAGCTATCTGGAGAGGCTGGAGGCGGACTACAAGGACTTCCTGAAGAGAGTAAACACAGATGAAGGCCGACTGAACGAGGAGGAGAGTCTTAGAGCGCTACGGAGAAAAATCGCGACTTTGACCCCCTTAATAGATGATTTGATCACTTTGAGGCTAAAAGAGGAGGATTTGAAAGCCACAGAGGCTTTACTGAAAGGTGAGAGTAACGCGAGGTGCAGGTGATGAGCATCAGTCATCTGTGTATTTTCCAAAATGCAGGACGCCATTATAAGAGACGTGGGAACTATGTGGAATTGTATTTAACAAAGGAAAGAACAGACACTCCCACACACCCTGTCAATAAGTGTTGTCAAAGTTCACACTGGCCTCTTCCAAGTCTGTATCCAAGAGATGATCGGCTGAAGTTCCTCAGCTCCAGCTGAACTTCCAAACTAAAGAGTTTAAAGAGAGACTTGAGTGGATTAGTCTCCAGTTCTTCCAATGTTGCTAAAAGGCAAGTGTGTGGGGGGGTTACAGAGACACGATGCACAAGGTTTCTGCTATAGTTTTCACAATGATGTGTGCAAAAGGCTTAATCCTGTTACTGCATCGGTAGGGGCTAATGGCTTTTCCCAAATGCTGTTGTCAAGACTTTGCAATGTGCACTGCTTGGCACTAATATTATTACTTCTGTGCATGACTTGATCTTAGCATGAGTATTTAAAAATGCTTAGCCCTTTTTTGGATCTGATATAATATTTCCTGCCTGTTTGATTATGGATTTTTCAAAGATTGTCTGCAGGGAGGGGTGCTCTTTCACTCCTATGACCTTCAAAGCTGTCTGGATGAGGCGGGTCATTTGTGATTTAAAATGAACTGATAGATGGCCAAACCACACTGAAATACCATACCTGATAATGCTCTCGATTACAGCACGGTTGAAGAGTAGCATTACTTCCTGTCAAACCCCAAACACTCTTAGTCTTTGCAGGAAATATAAGCGCTGCTGAACTTTGGAGCAAACACTCAACATGAGTAGTCCAGCACAGGTTACTGTCTATGTGTACACCTAAGTACTTATATGAATCGACCTGAGTGATAAGTTCATTGTGGATTACTACCTGTGAGTGATCACCAACTGCTCTGGGATCGAAAACTATTTCTTCTTTTTTTAATTCGGAATTAGGCTATTGTTGTCACACCATTGCTCAAACCTTTGCATTTCTGACATGTATACAGATCAGCTGCTTCCTCTATGCATTAAGCCAAGAACAGCTGTATCATCTGAGAATTTGAAAATGAAGTTGCTTTGACTACTGCTTGTTCAATCACTTGTATAAAGTGTGAACAGAACTGGAGAGCTCACACAGCCCTGAGGGGCACCTGTGCTTATAGATCGTGACTCGGAAAGAGTTTTGTTGACCCTGACATACTGACGTACTGTGTATGATTTGTTTAAAATGAATGGTATGATCTTATAATGTTATGGTTAACGGACATTTGCTTATCAATAGATGGGGCTGCAGCAAATTAAATGGAGAGCTGAAGTA